AAGATCTAATTGTGAGGCAGTGCGGGTCGTTTAGAAACCTGTCCCATCCCATTGACATCCCTAATTCTATGGCAACATATATGACAAAATTAACCTATCAATTTACGGTAATCGTTACATTATTTATGAAATGTGTTTATAGTTTTTTTTTCTCTCATCTATTTGATTTTGATATATCTCGCCACAAAATCTCTTCCTATGAGAACGTCTCATAAAACATAACTTTGTGGGCATAGCTTTAAACTAATTTCAAAATATGTAAAACTATTTCTTAGTTAAATAGTATGATTTATTTGCAATAATCTGGTACTGATTTAGACCTTTTTCTTAATTGAATTAGATGGTTTATAGCTGCAATTGTGGTCAAATTAAAAAACAGAGTCAATATTTGGATGGATTTCTCCACGTTACAATTACGTGACAGCTTACCATAATCTGGCTCGGCCTCCCCAACTACAACTTTGCGAAAAATATCAGCTACAAATAATAATTCTTCCACCAGCTCTTTGATCGAACCCCAGCAAAAACGAGCACTTTTTCTCTGATTTTCGAAGCCAAACAAAGAGAGGAGTTTTGGGTTCGTTGAAGTGGGTTCTTTTAAGGAGAAATCTTGATAAATAACATTTTAAAATAAATGAGTCTTGATTTTTATTTTTTATTTTTAATTAATATTTTTTTAATTAAATAATTATATTAACAAAAAAAGTAGCAATAAGAGTAAGAGAAGACTTTATAAAAATGAGCCAATAAGAAAGCTTTATTTATAAAGTAATTTTTTTAAAAAATTTATTTGTAAAATGATTATAAAACGATAAAAAAAAAAAAAAAAAAAAAAAAAACAACGACTATCATTATGAAGATTATGAAGAAAATTATTTTGTCAATTTCATTTTATTAAATAGTTTCTCGAGTAAAGGGGTAAACATCAATTTCAACATTTTATCATGGCGACTTATCATGATGAAATTGACAATCACCGGAGCTTTCGTATATAAGGACAACTGAACTAGATCGCTCTTCTCTCAAAAGAGCATAATCAGATGCTCTCTAAGAACTTCTCTCTCACCAAACCATCTATGTTGCCCTTCACCAACCCATCTTTTGTCTCTCTCTTCTCATCAACTTCCCATCACAAGTCCCAACCAACATTTCCTTCACCAACTAATCCAATCCCTATTATTATCGCAAAATACATTTCTCTGTTGCAGTTGTGCGCTTCTTCCGAGTCCAAACTGATGCAAATCCACGCCTTTTCGATCAGACACGGTGTCCCACTCGCCGACCCGGACATGGGCAAACACCTAATCTTCACGGCCGTGTCTCTATCGGCTTCAATGTCGTATGCAAACAATGTCTTTTCACAAATCGACAGACCAAACATATACACATGGAACACCATGTTTCGAGGGTACGCGGAAAGCGAAAATCCCAGGCTGGCTCTTGATCTTTATCATCGCTTTATTCGCGTGTCTTCCGTTAAACCCGATACCCACACTTACCCTTTTGTTCTTAAGGCCGTGGCTAAGTTGGCGGATGTTGAGGAGGGTGGGAAGATTCATTCTGTTGCTTTAAGAAATGGGTTTGAGTCTTTGGTGTATGTTCAGAACGCTTTGCTTCATTTCTATGCTAGTTGTGGGCACACTGATAGCGCGCACAAGATGTTTGTGTTAATGGCTCACAGAGATCTTGTGGCGTGGAACACTGTGATCAATGGGTTTGCTTTGAATGGTCGGCCCAATGAGGCTTTGGTTCTTTTTAGAGACATGGGGTTTGAGGGTGTGGGGCCGGACGGGTTCACGATGGTCAGTTTGTTGTCGGCTTGTGGTGAGCTTGGAGCTTTGGCTTTGGGTAGGAGGGCTCATGTGTATATGTTGAAAGTTGGATTGTGTTTGAATTTGATCGCTAATAATGCGCTTTTGGACCTTTATGCAAAGTGTGGGAGCATTAAGGAGGCAAGAAAAGTGTTTAATGAGATGGAGGAAAGAAGTGTGGTTTCTTGGACTTCTTTGGTTGTTGGTTTGGCTGTTAATGGGCTAGGCAAAGAAGCAATTCAGGTTTTCGAGGGATTAGAGAGGGAGGGTTTAGTGCCTACGCAGATAACTTTTGTCGGGTTCTTGTATGCCTGCAGCCATTGTGGAATGGTTGATGAAGGGTTCAATTGCTTTAGGAAGATGAAGGAGATATATGGAATTGAGCCCAGGATAGAACACTATGGTTGCATGATTGATTTGTTGGGTAGGGCGGGTTTGGTTGAAAAAGCTTATGAATATATTCAAAAAATGCCTTTGCGGCCAAATGCTGTTATTTGGAGGACCATGCTAGGAGCATGCACATTACATGGGCATTTGGTTCTTGGGGAGTTGGCAAGAACTCAGCTCCTTAAATTAGAGCCTGGACATAGTGGGGACGATGTGCTTCTCTCCAATCTTTATGCATTGGAGAATCGTTGGTTGGACGTTCAAAAGGTGAGAAGTGCAATGATCAACCAACGCGTGAGGAAAACTCCAGGTTACAGTCTTGTTGAGTTGAGAAATCGTGTTTATGAGTTTGTTATGGGCGATAGATCTCATCCACAGAGTGAGGAGACATATGCGAAGCTAACGGAGATCACAAAGTTATTGAAGCTGGAAGGTTATGTGCCTCATACAGCAATTGTGCTTGCAGACATAGAAGAGGAGGAAAAGGAGAATGCTCTGTCCTTTCACAGTGAGAAAATTGCAGTTGCTTTCATGCTTGTAAATGCAGCGCCATGTACACCAATTCGTATAATGAAGAATTTGAGAGTTTGTGTAGATTGTCATGTTGCTTTGAAGCTGATATCTAAGGTATATGACAGGGAGATTGCTGTGAGGGATTGTACTCGGTTTCACCATTTTAAAAATGGTACTTGTTCTTGTGGAGATTATTGGTAACATGTTTCTTCGAATAGTTTGATTTTGCTCTGGAGTTGGCAATAACAATCCATACTTCCTGCATTGTTCACGCTTTTTTCCCCAAAAATTTGGGTCGAACAAAGCTTTTTCTACACTTATTTGGGCAATATGATTTACAGAGGACTAAGAAGGAGACATTTTGAAAGACTGAAAAGTAAATGGAATTGAAGATAGATCCTGCCTTGCAACATTTGTGGATCAATTGTTTAAGGTCGATAGTTGTTTTGTTTCACAAGAAGAACACTATGCCTTGTCTGATCTTCTTGTGAAAAACATTCCTAAATAAGGCTTCCATGATCATATATTCTTTGGCAGCCTCTTTCATTAAATGTGAATATAGATGGTTCTTACCCTAGTTAGGTCGCGTGGTAAATTATTTTGTGGTCAAGTTCTAATTATAGAGGTTTGTTAAAGATTGCGTTAATCTTTATATGAGTGTTTCTTATGCTCTGAAAGCTGAGTAGTGGGAAATTATTGAAGTGGTGATCGTGGCTTTGTTCTGTGGATTGCATGTCCTTGGCTTTGAGAGTGGCTCTTCATTTATTCTTTTGCTTTGTAACCATGTTGCTCATAATGGCGTCTCCTCCTTGGAAGACAAAGAACACGAGGATCGCTGCCATGAACCGGGAAAGCAAATTCGCTCTTCTTCAATCTTTAGGATTTTATCTTTGTAGTTTCGCTCAAGATTTTCGCCGTGGTTTTTGTCGGCAGTTTGAGCTAGGAATCTCTTGTATGATTTCCCTGTTTCATCAATTGAAACCTTAAAGCCAAACATTATATGCATAAACAATTTTAAATAGCATCATGAAATAGATCCTTTTTATTAAAAATTTTCAAAATCTCATTTTGCTATATTTTATGGTTTCTATGACCAATAGACAGTGATGGGAAAAGCGTCGAACCACATCGAGGTCTTCTACAATGGCATTCTTGGGGTTGGCCGGGAGAAATGTTGCATGAGGATTTGCTTGTTATGCGTCAAAGTATACCTATTAAAGTTGATTGCAAGGGTCAGACACAAATGCATTACTTAAGAATAACCAACCAGAATAATGGGAGCGTGGAAAGAAGGATTGGTCCACGCCGTGAACCACTCACTCAATAAAAAGTCCAATCCATACCTTACCGGAGGTGAGATAGAGGGAGAGGAAGCCCTCGTAGCATTGCATACGCGAATCTACGGGAGCCCGTAGGGCGGGGTTTTACGTTACCATCCTACCATTAAATTCCACTATATGCTCACTAATAAAAAATTAAAGCTATTATTTGGGGTTCAACAAAAGCTGAAACCAAATTATTTATTTATTTATTTCATGAGAGATTAGAAAATGGTCTGTCATATAATGTGATTTTTTTTTATAAAAAAAAAAAAGAAGACGCAACTTTGTTATTTCATGAAAGCCACCTGAAATATCAAACAAAAACAAAACTCTCTCTTCCTCTCTTCATTCCCACGTTGTTGTCAACGTCCTCGCGAAAGTCATGACGACCCTCCTTTGAGGCCGTCACTGTAGCTAACTTTTTAACTTGTACTTACTGAAATTCCTTAAAAATTTTCAGAACATTTTTTTCTTAAAGTCTCATTGTAAACATAAGATACGAATTGCTTTCTTAACAAAATATACAACCTTAATATATATGTTCTTCAAAGCATATAAATATAACTATATATATGTATCTACTCCTTAAATTTTACTTACTAATAGCCATAATCTTCAAAACCACTTAACATATAGTTTCAGAGTCATAATTAGCAAAACTATTTATAACATAAAACTGATTGCAAAAATACTGTGAGCGGTATCCATTTCCCGATCTCCACATCGTTCGTCCACTCACCGTCAGTCCATCAGACATTATATGCCGGTTGCTTACCTACAGTATAAACATTCTATAATGAGCTTTCGCTCAGCAAGTAGGAACTACCTCTCGTAAAATAACTGTGAGTTCACATGAATAAATATGCATGAGCCAATTATGCTGAATTATGATGTCTTATCAAGGTCTTATTATCTTAACTTATCTTCTCTTCTCTTTCTCTCTTACTGATGGGCCCGAGTGCTCGTACCACTTGCGCGCAATCATCGGGACGTGAGGGTTTGCAAGGTCCCCCATGACACCGAGATAATATCTGAACTGAATGCCTCCCTCTCAGAGGACATTAGTATATTTTTTTTTCTTCTCCCTTGGGAGCCTGGGTCACCTCCCTCTCAGAGGCTGGGACGTCACTCAACTGGGATTATTCTTATAAGTTCCTCTTGACTTATTAAGGTGTATGCAATATGACATAACATAGCATACTATAATATGGAATGTACTCAACCACATATAATTCATGTGTACTGCTAAGTGTATGCAGCATGACGTAGCATAGCCTACATAACATTTCATGTACTCAAACACATATAATTCATGTGTACTATTTATTTAAAATCTATTTATACTGTAGGCGAGATTCCTACTTACCTGATTTTCAAAGCTGAAATCCCCTTTTCGCCTATCAGCCTAGTCTCTTGCTTTCTTTTGAAAATGAACACCCATTAAGAATGTGAGGTTAACTGTCATTTGTTATTCTATTTTAGCAAATTATGAAGGAAAACCTAACCCTTTCCATAAGGCATATATTCCTTTCCTTTACTAAAGGATAATAAGGATCAATTAAATATTCAAAGTCTTATTTTCCTAATTTTTCCTTGTTATGATATTAATGCCCAATTCGGCCTAGAACTTATACGTGGCATTCTAACTCTTAGGCCGCTAAAATTTATACTCTAACGGAGTCTCTTAAATTAATGCCGGCATTGGACCCACATTAAATCTTCAAAATTCTACGGACCTATCATATTGGGCTCGTAGGTGCCCGTCGGGATTATTTGCTCGATAAACCACTAAGTTCTTTGATGACTTTTTGTTAAAACCGACACTGTTTTAGTTTTGTTTTGTTAAAAACTGTGCAGTTTCTGAAATCTGCATTTTACTACATCTTAGAGTCAAATTTCAAAATTTTGTTCTTCGCGACAATTCTTTGTCTCGTCGAGATCTAAAATTGTTGTTTTTAATGAAAGTTAAAATTCAGCCTCTAAAGGCCTCGTTTGGCTGAAAACAGTGGCTGCTATTTTTTTTTCTTTTGCTGTAAGAAATGTTGCAGCAATCTTTTAAAATGCTGCGGATGCTATAGCAATGTTGTAGCAAAAATTTTCTTTTTGAAACTGTGATGGACAGCTTGTCCATTTTTTACAAAATGGCCTCAAACTTGCTTTTAGAGTTAAAATTAGGTTTTGTCATAGACACAGAAAACGTTTAAAACGTCAAGGTCTATAAGTTTAAATTTTGAAACACCGAAAAATCTCGCTCTAGGGTCCTCATTTTCACGTTCAAAGTAGCCGGAAATTTTTCCTCTAACCGGAAGTAAGCAAGCTTAAATCAAGCATAAGCATACCACATCAAACTAAGCTCAAAGCTCACAAAAGCAACATAAAACTCACACACCCTTATCACAACTCATCTCCTCAAGAACCACAAATTTACATCCATAAATCCAAGCTTAAAGTTGGCTAGAAATTAATGGAGAAGAGTTTAGAAAAAAAAACTTACCCTTGAAGAACTCTCTCTCTTTCTTGAAAAACCTTTGAACTCCACTAAGACTTGTTAATGGCTTGGAACTAGAAAGTATAAGGAATTTGAGAAGACATTTCTATATTTCAAACTTTACCAAAACATGAAAATGAAGAGAGGATTTAGTGTTTCTTTACCCTTGGAGAGATTTTTGTCTAGACCTCCTAAACCCTTTGATCTCCTTCTTCTTCTTATATTGATTGCTAGTGGCTCAAACTTGGGAGAGTGGAAGAAAATATTTGAGAGAAAAATGGAAGAGTGTGGCCAGTTTGGGTGTGGGGGAAATGAGAGGAGATATGCAAAAATGGCTAACCTAATGCTTGCACTAATGGTCTCACCTTTATAGACATTACTTGATCTCATCTTAGTTCTCATTTAAGCCTATCAAACTAGCTTAATTAGCTAGATTTTTGGATTAATCCCCCCCTTTATTGTGGCTGGCCGGTGGAGTGCTTCAAGAGGGAATGGTGTAAGCATTTCATGTCCAATAGTTGATTTGACTTAATCCCATCATGAAGTCCATCTAGCACACTTCACTAGCCAAATTTTTTGCTATAATCCCTTAAGTTTGGCCGGCCAAGTGAGGGAAGGAGAGAGAAAAATGAAACCTAACCCTGTACCTTTGTCTACTTTCTAAATTTACTCATTAAAACTGTCCAAAATTATACTGACAGCTATTTCTCCTGTATATGGGCATTGGATGCTAGTTTGTATTGTAATTGGAGATTCTTAAAATTAAGATTCTCAAACTGTATCTGTACTGGAAATTCTTCCGTTTTAAAGTACGGTGAGAATTTATCGATCGAATTTACTTGATCGAAAAAATGTGAACTTAACGTGAAATCTGTTACAGAATTTAGGAATGCAGATGTTAATTCCATAAATCCTTCAATAAAAAAAACGTGCATAATAGATATTTTTCCAGGAAAAATTCTTGACTTAAATACATGAATTTCATTATTTAAATTATGGGATTTTCTTGGTCACTACAATCTACCCCCCTTAAGAATTTTCATCCTGAAAATTAGAACAACTCGGGGCAACTTCTCGTCATATCTTCTTCGCGTTCCCAAGTAGCTTCCTCAATATTGTGATTTCGACACAAGACTTTAACTAGAGGAATTACTTTATTCCTTAAAGTTTTCTCCTCGCGAGCCAAGATCTGGACTGGTTTTTCCTCGTAGGTAAGGTCCGCGTGCACCTCGACAGGTTCCTGGTGCAATACATGCGACATATCTGTCACATATTTCTTCAACATCGATACATGAAAGACGTTGTGTACAGAAGCCAATTCTGGCGGCAATGCTAGTCTGTATGCGACTTTTCCAATCCTTTCGAGGATCTCAAAAGGTCCGATGTATCTCAGACTGAGCTTCCCTTTCTTACCCAATCTCATTGCCCCTTTCATCGGTGCCACCTTCAGAAAAACTAAGTCTCCTAGCTGAAACTCTAGTGGCCTGCGGTGTTTATCCGCGTAACTCTTCTGGCGACTGTGAGCTGTATCTAACCTCTCTCTGATGAGTCTCACATCCTCTGTGGTTCTCCTGATGAAGTCTACTGTTTCAAGATGCTTCTCCCCCGATTCGTACCAGTGAATTGGGGACCTGCATCTTCTTTTGTATATAGCTTTGAAAGGTGCCATTCTTATTGACGCGTGATAGCTGTTATTGTAGGAAAACTCTATCAAAGGTAACTTCCTATCCCAGTTTCCCTTGAAGTCCATGACACATGCTCTCAGCATATCTTCTAGGGTCTGGATGGTCCTCTCAGATTGGCCATCTGTCTGTGGGTGGAAAGCCGTACTGAACTTTAACTTAGATCCCATTGTGTCATGTACACTTTTCCAAAATCTAGACGTGAAACGGCCGTCTCGATCTGAAATGATAGATTCTGGAATTCCATGCCACGCTACTATCTTGGACACGTAAAGTTCGGCCAGTCGCTCAATAGAATAACTGAGTTTGATCGGCAGAAAGTGTGCGGATTTAGTCAATCGATCTACAATTACCCAAATCGCATCGTTGCCGTCGGATGTTCTAGGCAACCCTACCACGAAATCCATCGTGATTTGGTCCCACTTCTATTCTAGAATGTCAATCTTCTGTAGTTCTCCTGCTGGACGCTGATGCTCTGCTTTAACTTTCTGACAGTT